CCCCCGCCAATGGCTCGGCCAGCAGGCGGGGGGTCCAGCATTTGTCGAACGCTGGCCCCCCCGCCTGCCAGCCGACCCATTGGCAGGGTTCCAGCGTTAGTCAAACGCTGGAAAGCCGTCAATGCGTCGGCCGGTACGCGGGAGGGGCAGCATTCGACAAACGCTGGACCCCCATCCACGGGCCGTGCCATTGGTGAGGGTCCAACGTTTGTCCTTCATGTAGACCCTGCAAAAGCACGGCCCGTGGGCGGGGGTCCAGCGTTTGTCAAACGGTGGACCCCCCGCCTACCGGCCGATGCATTGGCGGGGGTACAACGTTTGACAAACGCTGGGACCCCCGCCCACCGGCCGTGTTTTGTTTGGGGGTCCAGCGTTTCACAAACGCTGGACCCCTCTGGGGTGCACGGCCCATAGACGAGGGTCCAACCTTAGTCCTTCATGTGGACCCTGCAAAAGCACGGCCCGTGGGAGGGGGTCCAGCGTTTGTCAAACGCTGGACCTCCCGCCTACCAGCCGATGCATTGACGAGGGTCAGGCGTTTGTCAAACGCTGGACCCCCCGCCTACCGGCCCATGCATTAACGGAACGCTGGACCCCCCCGCCTACCGGCCAATGCATTGGCGGGGGTACAGCGTTTGACAAATGCTGGACCCCCGCCCACCGGCCGTGTTTTGTTTGGGGGTCCAGCGTTTCAGAAACGCTGGACCCCTCTGGGGTGCACGGCCCGTGGACGAGGGTCCAGCGATTGACAAACGCTGCACCCCTCCAAATGTACGGCCCGTGGCCTCCTACGTGGCATTACACAAAGATCGCCATCCCCCGGCCTTTTCCTATGATTTCGAAGAAACAAAAAAACAGGGATTTGTGAGGGGTGGGGGTTCGATCCCCTCCTCGACTGATCAGTGGCCTCCTACGTGGCAATACGCAATGACATCGCCATCATCGTGGCCTTTTCCTATGATTTTGAATAAAAAAAAACAGGGATTTTTGAGGGGTGGGGGTTCGATCCCCTCCTCGACTGATCTGTGCCCTCCTATGTGGCATTACGCAAAGATCGCCATCATCGTGGCCTTTTCCTATAATTTCGAATAAAAAAAAAAAACAGGGATTTGTGAGGGGTGGGGGTTCGATCCCCTCCTCGACTGATCTGTGGCCTCCTACGTGGCATTACACAATGACATCGCCATCATCGTGGCCTTTTCCTATGATTTAGAGCAAAAAAAAAACAGGTATTTGTGAGGGGTGGGGGTTCGATCCCGTCCTGGACTGATCAGTGGCCTCCTCGTGGCATTACACAATGACATCACCATCATCGTGGCCTTTTCCTATGATTTCGAAAAAACAAAAAACAGGGATTTGTGAGGGGTGAGGGTTCGATACCGTCCTCGACTGATCAGTGGCCTCCTACGTGGCATTACACAATGACATTGGCATCATCGTGGCCTTTTCCTATGATTTCGAAAGAAAAAAAAAAACAGGGATTTGTGAGGGGTGGGGGTTCGAGCCCCTCCTCGACTGATCAGTTGCCTCCTACGTGGCATTACACAAACATTGCCGCAAAAATCGCATTTTCAAAGGGATAAAAAAAACAGGGATTTGTGAGGGGTGGGGGTTCGATCCCCTCCTCGACTG